GGACACAGCTATGTAAGATAATTATTAATAGACATGAAAAATCTAACAAGCAAGAATAGTTGTAATGGGAGACCTCAATACACCATTGTCCAAAGAGATGGATCAACTAGACAAGGCATCAGCAAAGACATGACACAACTGATCCAAACATGTGCACAAATAAGTGTAGATATTTTCCAACTCTTCCACCCAACATCATCAGAATACACATTCTTCTCAGCTGCACATGGAACATTCCCAAGAATAGGCCACATACTAGCCCATAGAACATGCTTAAGTAAGTACAATTATCCTATTATCCCATTATTGAAATTATCCTATTATCTGACCATACTGCAATGAAATTAGAAATTAATGGCAAAAGAAACCACAAACACTCCATAAACATGGAAATTAAACAATGTCCTCCTAAACAACCAATGAGTCACAGATGAAATAAAGGAAGATATTAAGCAATATGTACAACTAAGTGAGAATGTAGATAAAACATAGCAGAAATTATAGAATACAATGAAAGCAGTCCTAAGAAGGCAATTTACAGTGGTGAATTCTCACATCAGGAAAACAGAATGAGGGTCGGGAAGATGGCTCAGTAGAATAAGCACTTGCCTGGCAAGTGCAAGGGGCTGTGTTCAATCCCCGGTTCTGACACATACACACACACACACACACACACATACACACACACAAGTAAAACAGAATGAACACAAATAAACAACCTAATGTTACATCTCAAGCTTCCAGAAAAGAAGAGCAAGACAACCCAAAGTCCATACAAGGGAGAAAATGAAAAAGATCAGAGAAGAAATAAGTGCAATAGAAACCAGGAAAACAAAACAAAGAATTAATAAATCTAAGAGTTGGTTCTTTGAAAAAAAATGAATAAAATGACTAAAAGACTAAAATCCATGCACCGGGGAATGATAATGGTGAAGCCACTACATATCCTGTGGGAATTCAGAAGATCATCAAAACCGACTTTGAAAATCTCTCCTCTGGACTTTTCTGGTTTCCTCAGCACAAGGAATAATGAGCAGCAAAGTCTCCCACGACACCCTGTACCAGGCAGTGCGCGAGGCCCTGCACTGGAACCAACACAAGCGCCAGAAGTTTTTAGAGACTGTGGAGGTGCAGATCAGCTTGAAGAACTATAACCCTCAGAAGGACAAGCGCATCTTGGGGGCCGTCAGGCTGAAATCCATGCCCCGCCCCAAGTTCTCCGGGTGTGTCCTGGAGGACCAGCAGCTCTGGGACGAGTCCATGGCTGTGGACATCCCCCACATGGACATTGAGGAGGTGAAGAAGCTCAACAAGAATAAGAAGCTGGTTAAAAACTGGCCAAGAAGTACGATGCCTTTTTGGCCTCCGAGGCTCTGACCAAGATCCCACGAATCCTGGGAACCAGCCTCAATAGCCTGGCAAGTTCCCTTTCCTGCTGACCCACGATGAAAACACGGTGGCCAAAGTTGACAAAGTGAAGTCCATGATCAAGTTCCAGATGAAGAAGGTCCTGGGTCTGGCTGTGGCTGCTGGTCACGTGAAGATGACAGAAGACAAGCTTGTGTACAACATCCATCTTGCCGTCCACTTCCTGGTGTCACTGCTCAAGAAGAATTGGCAGAATGTCCGGGCCCTATACATCAAGAGCACTATGGGCAGCCCCAGCACCTGTATTTAGGCACATCTTAATAAATATCAGTGCTACCAAAAGAAGGAAAGAAAAAAAAGAAAGAAAGAAAGAAAGAAAGAAAGAAAGAAAGAAAGAAAGAAAGAAAGAGAAAGGAAAGAAAAGAAAAGAAAAGAAAAGAAAAGAAAAGAAAAGAAAAAAAGAAAAGAAAAGAAAAGAAAAGAAAATCCCTACTCTCACAGAATGGAAAACACAAATGCAATGGACAGATTCCTACATATGTATGAAGTACCAAAGCTGAATCAAGAAGATATAAAAATTTTCAATGATCCAATATCAGTTAATGAGATTGAAATGTAATTTTAAAACTTACCAACAAAGAAAAGTGCAGGTCCTGGTGGATTCACCACTGAATTCTACAAGAAATTTAGAGAAGATCTAATGCAAACACTCTTCAAATTCTTTTAAAACATTGAAAGAGAAGTAATACTCCTTAACTCATTTCTAGAAGCAAGTATTATCCTGATACCAAAACTAGAAAAAGACACAACCAAAAGAAAATAACTACAGGCCAATCTCACTAATGAACATAGATGAAAAATCCTAAGAAATACTAGCAAAAGAATGCAGTAAATCATCAAGAGGATTATACACAATGATCAGATGTTTTGTTTTGGTTTCTTTTGTTGTTGTTCTTGTTGGGGGGGGAGTTTTAGGCAGAACCAGGGATTGAACTCAGGCCCTTGCACTTGCCAGGTAAGCACTTATTCTATTGAGCTATCTCCCAGGGCCCCCAGTTAAGTTGTACGCCAGGAATGCAGAGATCGTTCAACACATGTAAGTTAGACAAGAGAGTGAAAAAAAAGAATAAGGATAGGAAAGGAAGAAGTGAAAATGTCGTTACTCATAGATGAAATGATGCTCTGTATAGAAGACCCTAAAAACTCTGCCAAAGTAATGCTAGAGTTAATAACTAAATCAGTAGCATAACTGGATACAAGCAACTTGTAAAAATCAATAGCATTCTTGTATACACAAAAAAACTTTTTGAGACAGAAATTAAGGCAAATATACCCTGCTCAACAGCATCAAAAAAAAATGAAATACTAGGAAATAAATCTAATAAAGGAAGTAAAATTTTTATATGATGAAAATTATACTACTCTGAAAAAAAAGATTGAAGAGGATAGCAGAAAATGAAAACATGTCTCTTGCTCATGGATAGGAAGAACCAACCTCACGAAAATGGCCATATTCCCAGAATTGTTATACAGATTTAATACAATCCTGACCAAAATACCACTAGCATACCTCACAGAACTGGAGAAAATAACTTCCTATAATTCATTGGGAGAAAGAGGAGACCTAGAAGAACAAAGGAAATCCTGGGCAACAAAGGCAAGGCAGGAGGCATCACAATCCCTGACTTGAAATTATGAAACAAAGTCACTGTGATAAAAGCACAGCAAAAATAGATCTCTTCCTGGAAGGTAGTCCTGGTGCCAGGGAACACATCCTTTGCATGTGTTCTCCAGTAGGACTGGGTTTTAGGGTTTCTCTCTAGTCTCGCCATGCAAGTCTGACCTACAGATCAGTGGTCACTGCAGATAAGAATTGCCCAACATCCTCATTGCACATGAGTGGGTGGAGGGCTGGAAAGTGGTCAGGCTGGGGGAGCTCACCCTGGAAGCCTCCTTGTCCCCTCAGTCCAGACCCTCTCCCCTTTCTTCTCCAGGTAGAGGACAGCTTTTGGCTGAAAACAAAGAACTCCTGCTCCCCTTTCCTCCCAGGAGTTCTGTGAGAAGATGTGAAACTGTGTAAAAACCTTTTTAAGATGACTGAAAAGAAATGGCGGGGGCCTGGCCCTAGCTCAGTCCTCTAAGTGGCTGCTTCCACAAAGCTGTCAGCCTCAGGTTGCTGGAGTTCAAACCTCACAACGCTCCAGCTGGCCAAAAGTGCCCTGAAGGCATTTGAGGAACAAAAAAAAAAAAACCCTTATTCCATTTCTTCATAAAATAATCAGCAACTTTGAGGCAAATTCAATAAACAGCAAAAAAAGAGAATGTTTTTCTAATATGAACATGTTTTCCATTGTACTAAATTCATAATCATAGTCTCATTTATGTTTCAAGTGAGTTGTTCAACTTGGGCTGGTAATTTGAATTACTGAAATTTCTTAAATGGAAAAAGGTCCAATTAAATAGTGGAAATTTCCAAAATAAATAAATAAATAAATAAAATCTATTAAAGAGAAAAAAAAAAAAAAGAAAGAAATGGCTTCCCTCACCCATAATCACCCTATTTGCCCTTCCTAAAGGACTGAGTGAAAATGGTGACAAGGGCAGGCAAAGAGGCCACAGGACTTGCTCGGTGTGTGTTGCCTAGTTTCTCTGCAGCTGCCTGTGCAACAGCAGACAGATGAGGGTCACATGGGGGCCACGTGGGAGAGAGAGTCCCACAGGAAGAGTCCCTCTCCCCCAGCAAACCTGAGGAGATGGCCTGGGCCTATATCCGCCCTTCTCTGACAATGTCCTTGCTTTCATCGCAGGGGACTCAGGTGCTCCTCCCACTTTTAATGGAAACCAGATGCCTCTGCATCTGTATAATGTACACAGCCCTGGGACAGAGAGATTGCAGAAACTGACCTTCCAGTCAGCAGATACAGGTAGGCGGGGCGGGCGGAGGTCTCACGAGCATCCACTGCTGGAGGGCTGGGGAAGAGGAAGCAGAGGGGTTCAGTACATGGAGAAAGCTTGGGCTCTCACTAGCACCTAAAAAAGCTTTGGCCACGCAAACCCCAGTCAGGGTAGAGGAGGGCCAGGGTGAGCAAGAATGGGCAGGTACAGAGAAGTCAGGGGCCTGGAGGAGAAGGAGCCCCAAACTGGGGGAAGCGAGCATCTCAGGGTGGAATTCAGCAGAACCCTTTGTGATGTCAGTGTCCCATGCGGCACTGAGTTTCTCTTATGCTCTAAGACACCAGGCTCTGCCACCCATCATGATGGATGTCCTGGCCAGAACTCAGTGATAACATTTTCCTCATTGTCTCTTCAAAGTGATCCATTAGCCTTCTGAGCTCAAAATGCATTTTATTTTGCAAACACATTTTATATAAAAGTGTTTCAATGAAGCACTGGTTAGATTATGGCAGATATTGTCGGTCACCAACTAGAGGAAGGACGGTTTCTCTCTAACTAGTGGGAGAGAAACACACCCAGATAAGGTTTAGTGTGAGCGTCGCATCCCTCGGGAAATGGCTCAGGAGAGGGAAACTGTGCCAGAGCAGCTGGTGGGAGCTGGGGTACAATATCTGAAAGCGTGCACTGCCCCCTCTTTCCTTTTCTCATTTGCACTCTTCCAGGACAGTGAGCTCGCCATGGCTCTGGACACGTCCCTTGTCCTGTTCCCACTGCTCATCCTGGTGCTCCTGGGGCTGATGTGGGTCCAGCCTCCTCAGGACCCAGAATCCTCGGCCATGAGGTTCAGGCGGCAGCACGTGGACTCAGGCAGCTCCCGCACCAGCAACCCCAACTACTGCAATGAAATGATGAAGAGCAGGAAGATGACACAGGGGCGCTGCAAGCCCGTGAACACCTTCGTCCATGAGCCCCTGGCAGACATGCAGGCTGTCTGCTTCCAGAAAAATGTGCCCTGCAAGAACGGGCAGCCCAACTGCTACCAGAGCAGCTCCAACATGCACATCACAGACTGCCGCCTCACAGGCAGCTCCAAGTACCCCGACTGCTCGTACCGCACCCACCAGGAGGAGAAGAGCATCATCGTGGCCTGTGAGGGGAACCCGTATGTGCCGGTCCACTTCGATGCTTCTGTGGAGGCCTCTGCCTAAGCCAGGGCAGCGAGACACCCACCTCGTCCCTTACCTTCAACTCAACACCTGCCTTTCCCCTCTTCTTTCCTTGTCCCCACAGAAATAACAGTAGTTAGGGCTCCTGTCCCACACACAGGGTTCACTCTTTCACATTCTGCTTCTGCATGGCTTCGGGGCTGAGGGGTGGGAGCTGCTGTGGGCCCTGTATTAACTCCTTCACTGCTTCTTTCAATAAAACATAGTTGCAGTCACTGGAATGCTGGAGCAGGAATGGTTTCTGAGGTTGCTTTCCAGCCAGGGGGAAGACATGTGAATCTGATTCATTTTGGTGAATAGCAACATGAGAAATTAAATGGCCCTCACCACTCACTTGTAGATTTTAGTGTCATTCCCTTTCTCGGGCCAGCAAGACAGCTCTGCAGACTAAGTGCGTACTTAGGCAAGCACAGGGACCGAGGTTCAATCCCTAGCACCACATGCTACTCCAGCCCTGCCCCCGGATGCACTGAGCTGGTGACCCAGCAGTGGTGAGGAATGCCTGTAATCCCAGGGCTGGGGAGGCTGAAAACAGGAGGATCACTAGGAGTCTGAGCTGTGTAGTGAGACCCTGTAGCAACCAAAAACATAAAGAAAGAAAATTCCTTTTCTTCTTGATTCCTTGATGTCAAATATGAAACTTTTAGATGAGTGCTGTTTCAGATAAAAGGCATCCACAAACATGGACATGACAGTTCTGGGTAAACTGACAAAGGTAAAGCTCAAGTGTCATAATTCTTAGACACAGAAAGAGGAAGAGCATGGCCACAGGAAGACCGTGCACATTCTTCTTGTGAGGAGGGCATGCAGTCCTGCCTGTCGTTGTTGTTGTTGCTGTTGTTGTTGTTGAGTCAGCTACTTCCACATCAGAAACATGCCTGTCACTTGGTAAGTCAGAACCTTAATCTTCAGAACTCAAGGAAACCCGAGGCCATGGAGTACAGCTTATGCTCCACAGTATTGAAAATACCTGCTTGGGGGCCAAGGAGATGGCTCAGTAGAATAAGCGCTTGCCTGGCAAGCACAAGGGTCTGAGTCCAATCCCCAATTCCACCAAAAAAAAAAAAAAAAAAGAAAGAAAGAAAATACCTGTTTGGATAGCTATAGAAAAAAATCTATGCTGTGCTGTGATTGAACCACACCACTAACTGAAGCATACAGGGCACATGATTGCCAGCCCTGACCTTGCCCAATTATTGAAAGACTGGCTCATGGTCCCCAGCTAGCAGCACATCTGGGACCTGAGCTCAGGACTCTTTAGCCTTTCTGCTGAGAGTTTAATTCATCAAGCAGTTCCCCAGTCTCCCTTCTTTCCCAAAGCTGGAGAGAGCTGCCTCCCTTCTGGTGACCACCTACAGACCTCTGTACACTTGGCCAGTGACTCAACCCTCACAGTTCGTGGTAGCACTCCTGAGGGCAGCAAAAGGACTGGATTAGGTCGCCCTCTTCTCATGATCATTGCATTTGATCCTCTGTGAGTGTCTGTGTGTCATTAGACAGGCTCATGAACCAGGAAAAAGCCCGACTTCCAATGAGAAAGACCAGCTCTGGTCTGACTATTTGCTTGTTTTGTTTTTAATTTTGGTTTTGGGGGTTTGTTTGGCTTTGATTTTTTTCTGTTTCGTTTTTTGTTCTGTTTTGTTTTTTGGAGAGGGTCTGGCTATATAATTCAGGCTGGACTGGACTCACTATGTATCCCAGGTTGGACTCGAACTCAAGGCAGACCTCCTGCTTCAGCTTCCTAAGTGCTGCAGCCACAGGTTTGTGCCACCGTGCCTGGCTCAGGTCTGTCTGTGCACACTCACAGACATGTGAGTGACTCTGACCATCCCAAGCGCTGGTCACAGCAGCCCGTCTGGACTCAGACAACAGGCGAGACCAGCTCAAGGGCCCAGCTGCTCCTGACTCCTCACAGCTGAGCAGCTGAGCACTGACAACACGAACACCGGCTGCCCCTGTGCCCTACCGGCCTCCCATCCACCCCTGCTTCTCCCTTTTCCATGTAGGAGCCAGGAGGACTCAGCCAGCTACCTCACAGTGATGCAGAGCAGCCCTGATATGGAAGTGAGAGTGAAGAGCTGAGCGTCGTGTCACGTGCTTGTAATCACAGCACTTTGAGGTGAGGCAGGACAGCAAATTCTAAGCCACCCTAAGCAACGCAGAGAGACCCTGTCCAAAGAAAAAAAGCAAAGCACAATGACACAATGTCCCAGACCTGTAATGGGGGACACTAAAGCAAGGGACTTGCCAGCCCAGGCTAGCAACTTAGCAAGACCCGCCCCTCAAAACTGTGAAACTCACAAAACAAAGGCAGGGGATGTAGCTCTGTGTGAAGGACCTGATTTCAATTCCCAGTGAAGAGCACCCTGACCTTCAGGAACCTTGTACAGTTGGAATCTCATTAACGGTTCACAGACATGGACTACATCTCCTGTGCATAGAGATTGAACTCTGGGACACACATGCAGTTATGGTGCCTCTGAGATGACCCAGCCCCCTGTCAATCGCTGCTGTCAGTCTTATCCAGAGACCCAGAGGAGACCCCTGGGCTGGGGAACACGTCCTTTGAAATGCAAAGCCTGGGGCGGGGGGAGATAACTCAGTGGCATAAGTGCCTGCCTAGTGAGCACACGGTTCTGAGTTCAATCCCTTGTACAAACAAACAAAATGCAAAGCCTGGTGTATCCCTGTGCTTTTTACTTTTCTGTCACCCTGACACCACTTTTCTGTTCCTACCACCTGAGAACATCTTCCTGTCATCTTCAGAACATGTGATTTCTCTCTCCTTTGCCAATAGATGTCAGCTTGTGAGTCACTGCTTGACATCCCCAAGACTTGGGGATCCACCTCCAACCTACCACACAGCACCATAGGCACTAGGAACAAAATGCTCTCCAGATCCAGGCGGGAGGTGATTTGAGAGAGGACAAAAACACAGTCGCACCCACTTGAAGGCAGCAGGAGGCTCTTTATTGCCGCAAGGGCAGTGCAGTGAGGCTGGCGAAAGTGACCAAGGCCTAGAGCTTCCCCCTCCCTTTCCACATTGCCTGACTGCAACACAGAGCAGCACACATAGCCCCAGCAGCAGGGAGAGGACAATGCATAATTTGCACCCTCTTTTCTGTGTAGGAAAAGGGAAAATCATGGTAATAGCAGAAGCAATACGCCTGATGTGGTGCATGCCCATATTCCCAGGACTCGGGAAGCTGAGGCAGGATGATTGCCACAAGCTAAAGGCCAGCTTGAATTATAGAGGGAAATCTTGTTTCAAAAAAAGGGGTGGGGGCTGGAGAGATAGCTCGTTGGTCTAAGCTCCTGCCTGGCAAGCACAAGGTCCTGGATTCAATCCCCTGTACTGCATGCTGTGCTGGCCGCACACTGAATTGGCCATCGAAACCGGGTGTGGTGGCGCATACCTGTAATCCCAGCACTGGGGAGGTTGAGACAGGAGGATCACTGTGAGTCCAAGCTGCACAGAAAGACCCTGTACCAAAAACAAAAAATGCAATAAGAGCAAAATTACTAACCATAACTATTTATTCTTATTTTGTCTTAAAGACTTCATAACTATTTTTAAAAATCTCTCATAGTCTCAAGTTTCAGTTAAAACAATGTGAGAGGAGCAGCCCTCTCCTGTGACCCGCCCACCCCATCCTCCCTCTGACCTGAGCTCCTACATTCAATAACCCTTATGTCATGTCACAAATCTGGGTTTTAAGGGCCAGCGAGATGGCTCAATAGAATAAGCGCTTGCCTGACAAGCACAGTGGCCTGAGTTCAATCCCTGGCTCAGCAAAAAAAAAAAAAAAAATCAACTAACAAACCTGGGTTTTACCCCTCCCCTGAGCTGCTGACCTTCACCTCTGACCACTGGCCCCAGCCACCTCCATTGCCCTCCCAGCCCAAGGTTCACCTCTCTCACCTGGTGTCAGTGCTCCCGCTGAGCTCCCGGGGTCATCAGATTCCTTCTTCTCCCCAGCTGACCAGCGTTGCTGTGCCTGGGCAGGAGAACCTGTGCTCTGAGTCCCACGATGACAGCCCTGCCTCTGAGCAGCTGTGAGCTCCTTCTGCAGTGAGACTCTAGACTTTCCTGCTCCTCTTGAAACTTGTAACGTTAACAGTATTTATAAAAGAGAAGCTGCTCAAAAGGAAAGAGAAACTGTGATGAGGAAAAGGAGAAAGGAAGAGAAAATAAATACATAAATATATAAATAAATACAAGATAGTAAAGATAGTTATACTACTAATTGCTATTACTTCATTGAAAAGGTTTGTGCCTATATTGTTTGACTGATTTTTCATGCCTGTATCGTGTAACATGAGTAACTATTTTGAAAATAACAGGGGCCGGGGAGATGGCTCAATGGAATAAGCGCTTGGCTGGCAAGTGCAGGGGCCTGAGTTCAATCCCCGGTTCGGCTAAAAAAAAAAACCAAAAAAAAAGAAAATAACCATAATCAATGTACTAACCATTGTCACTCTCCTACAATCTTGTTTTGAAATTTTACACCATTGTTTTTATTGGGTTCTTTTCTTTAAAATTAAAAAAAAAAAAAACTCTCCTTTATGTAACAAGATTACTCAGAGGAAATTTACAATTTTAAGGAACTGATCACTTCCTCATAAAGATTTCATGATTTTTTTTTTTATTAAAAGCTTCAGGATTTTTTTAAAAAACCTTTTTATTTATTTGGTACAGGATCTCACTACACAGCTCACATTCATCGTGACCCTCCTATGTCAGCCTCCCCAGCTCTGGGATTATAGGTGTGCGCCACCATGCCCAGTTTCTATAGCCTGCTCGGTGCCTTGCCAGCACAGCATGCAGTCCCAGGGGATCAAACCCAGGTCCTTGCACTTGCCAGGCAGACCTTCAGACTGCTGAGCTATCTCCCCAGCACTCCTCTCCTTTTTTGTGAAGGTTTATGATTTTAGGGATTTTTTTTCTTTTAAAATCAGATTTTATTGGTATATTTTGGTTATACATAATGATCACATGCATCATAGAGAATTTGTACTTGTACAAG